TACAAAATGAGATCAGCATACTTTAGGGACAACGTATGAGAACAATATCGTGCAATGAGAACTAAGATTAATAGTTTAGAAAAAAAGATTACTTCTAATAAACGCAAGTCCAGAAATCCAAGTCTAGAGGAGAAAAAGAGCGGTATGGCGCGTAGAAATAGTTGCAGGCTTTTTCGAGAGAGATCGCTGCCAGAGAGACATTTGTCAGATCGTCAGTGAAGCCATGGTGTTGTCGATGCTAGAATTCGATCCAAGATCTCGGTCTGGGCAATGTGTAGCTAATAAAATTGCTGCCTTTTCGTAAAAGTTGCAAAATGATTGGCTATAAATTTCTCGGACCGAGTGAAACTTGGAATTAAAAACGTAGATAATCGACGCTTTCAATTCCGTCTCCTATCTCATCGACACTGATGGAGTTCGCCAGCGGCTTTAGGATCCCCTTAAAAGCTGGTCTACCGCCGAAAAAGACTCCGGTGCCTGAAAGTGACACGAGGAACGTATCACCGATGTCAAGTGTGCCGGAGCAAGTCGGGCTGGAGAGAGCGAAATAACGGCACGAATGCCTGCGCCACTGTAGCAATCTTGCCTGGATTTAATTTAATTCCCGGCAGTCTCTTCCAGCCGGAGGGCGTCGTAAACACCCTCGGTCGGTTATGCCGCACCTGCATCTTCACTCGTTTCCTTCGCGAGGGCGCGTTAAGCTAGCCCTTACCTTTCTTAACGATCCGGAACAAGCCGCCCGAGGGCCTCGGGCGCAGACTACGGCGGCATGGTGTCAGATCGAACACCCTCCCGCCGTAAGACGTGGCTCTCCGAGGGGGAAATATTGGGGGCTCAACGAAATATTCTTTTTTTCCCTCTACGTTCCTTGTTTCCTTTTTGCATTTTCTCTTAATAGCTTTCTAATTGGGCAAGGGAGAGTGGTACACGATGCGATGATAAATGAGGAAAATTCATGATATCGTTCGAAATCGAATAATTTCCTGCACAGTAATTTGTAGTGATCGCGGCAATTCCCAGTGTGTATTTCGCGTATCTGACAACCCTTGTGGCCCCCCTTTGTTTTAACAGTTCAAGGGATGGCGACAAATTTTGTAAACACGCGAAGCAAAGGAAACGAAAGCCAATCTAATCATGTTTATCAATCTCGTAAACCCCTCCCCCCCGTCTCAGCGACAAACAGCTGATTGTTCGATCGATGCCGAACATTACGATCGGTTCAAGATTACCGAGATTTTGGACTAATTTAAAGTCTGCTGTTTTCGCTTTTCGTACTTGTTCCAGTAATTAATGTTTCGGTCGTAAAAGCCCTCTTTAAATGCCTGGTTCCTACCGCACTCGCGAGCATACAATAGTTTACTAATTTCGCAAACTGTTTCTTTATTTTTTTAATAAATTGTTATAATAATTTTGTTCTTTCCAGACGGAAATAGCGAAGAGGTTGAACGCCATCGTCGTACAGATCCTGCCGTTTCTCTCGCAGGAGCATCAGCAGCAAGTCGCCTCGGCGCTCGACAGAGCCAAACAAGTGACCATGACCGAGCTGAACACTATTATCGGGGTGAGTGCACGTCAATGGTATAGCTTGTTACAAAGATGGATCTTCCGTCGCCGCCACCGCCGCCGCCGCCGCGAGTACCTCGCCGCGCTCGCGACTCGATCGAATACATAGCGAACCGATTCACGTGCGTCCCAGCGTGAAGAGCATTCGCGGTGGGTGGAGAACCCCTGCGGGCACGCTACGGCTGGAAGCCGATGCACGTCCGAGGAATCCAAAAGCGGACGGGACGGATACGATCCTGGCGAATCCCGAATCCTCCTCAATATTGCTCGAGCACTCAATTTCCTCCCTATTAAGCCACCGGCTTCTCCAACCCCCGTTTCGTTCTCTTCCTCCGCTGCTCCGACCCCGTCGTCGCTCGCCCCCTCGATCCCTCGCGCCCTTATTCCTCGCCGCATCCGCTCTCGCCACCTATATAGTCCCCCTTCTGTCTCTCTCTCTCTCTCTCTCTTTCTCTCTCTTGTTCGCTCACTCACTGAATCTTATCCGGAGTCTTCCCGCCCGGTTACCCAAGCCGTCGGGGGTAGGTTATAGTGTTACGGTTCACGAGCGCGCCGACTAATCAGCATTCCAGCCACCCCTCCGTCTCCGAGCCTTCCTTCCCACACAGCCCACGGAGAAACTTCCACGGATCTGCGACGTTGTCGGGGTACGTGCGGCAAATCCTTAGCAGGATTCCGGAATGCCGCCCGTCTTAGTTTACTCTCTTCTCTTAAATCCCACCAGCTATGCCGGATGGATCGAATTGAACAAGCCCCGACGGATTCGCTGGTCGATTTCGCCGCGGCTAGATAAGCCCAGGAAACGTAATCGTTTCGCGGATTATTTCGCATCGCGATATAGATATCGCGGTAGATTAGCTTTTCTTGGAAGAACTCTCTCCCTTTCTCTCTCTCTCTCCCTTTGTTACTCGAAACCGTTGTTGCAAACCTCGCTACGAATATAGAGACGGCGAACAGGATATCAGTTGTAAAGCTTCGATATTGCGAATGATATTGGCTTACGAGTTTTCGCGATAGACACGCTCACAATTCTCCTTGTGGCGACTGCTTACTTCGGCCAAAAGACGCTTACAGAGTGTGTCAACGATACGCAATATAAGAAGGTTAACACGATCCCCTTTAGATCTCTCAGCTGTAACTTCGCGTCTAGTCGAGTCAGCAAGCAGCAACGGCAAAACTGCTGAGGACGAGCACTTTGCAACCGATGCAGGTGCCGCGAGATGGTTCGCACGAGGATTAAGACGCGGTAACTTCGTATCCGGAAGCAAGGAAGGAAGTCAAGACGCTTTAAATCGGAGAAATCTGACCCTTCTGACGGTGTAGAAAAGGAAAAGGTGGTGCCGCCTTCTGTTATATCGAGTTTGAGAGGTAGAAAATATCTCGAATATCTTGGGCGATTCTTTTTAAATTTCGTAAAACTTTTACCACCCTCGGTGCATCCTCTCTTGCCCATATTTCCTTGCTCGTTAGCGCACGGGGACTTGAAAAAAACGAAATTCACACCTCTGAACCTGAACACCCTTTGTGCAATTCGTTCGGGCCGCGGACGTCAAAGCTCGTTCCTTCCACGTTGCTGCGGCATTACGAGGAATCTCGGCACTGGGACGAGAGTGGTTTCCTGGCACTGGTAAGAGGGTAACACTCCGCATAGAAGTCGGGATCCGTGAGGATAGCAGGCTACGGGTCAGGATTATTATCGCTATCAAGAGTGGAAACTCGGGACGTTTCCTAGGGGCTTCCGACTTCCTCGAATCACCGGCGACGTTTCGCAGGAATACGGCTTCGTGGACCGTGGAGCCACGTTTTCCATCTTCCGCCTTTCTTCGCTGCCTATCTCTCTCTTTCTCCTCGCTCCTCCTCTTCCCCCTCTCGCTTTCTCTCTCTTTCTCGTTCAATCTCCATCCCTCGACACAGACGCGCGGCACGGCGCAGCACCGGCACGCTTATACACGTTCCTCTGTTTGTATGTTTTGTGGGTGGCTCTGCTCAGACAGTCGACGCTCGACGCGAGGTTATTATATCGTTAAGCCATTTAATTATCTCGGCAAACTACTCCCCGGAATATATATTCGCCCCAGCCTGCCTTAACGAGTGTACATGGTTACAGGCGGGTGTGGGTGTACTATACCTCTTGCACTCGCCGTCTGCGCGCTATCCCTCCCCCTCCTCCTCCTCCTCCTCCTCCTCCTTCTCTCTCTCTCTCTCTCTCTTTCTCGTGATTACCTACTCTCCGCCAGTCTCGCCTCCGCACCATGATCTGCGAACCGTTAAAACGGCGTTGAACAGATCCACAATTTGTCTGGCGGCTTGGTCCAACTAACGAGGAAACTACGGGCGAGATACGCTTAAGATTTCCGCGAAACTTTTCGCCGGCGCTCGTTCGTTCGCTCGTTCGCTCGATGGTAGAACGCGTAAGTCTTTCCACTTGTTTCGCAGCCTTTGATTTACCCGGGCGAGGTCGAACGCGGAGGTTACTCAAACTTGCCGGAGTTTACTCGGCAATTTGTATGCTTTGCTAATGGAAAGTTGCCTCCGTTGACTGTAACGAAGTGTATTTTCGCGTCGGCAGCGGCTGGCGGTGGCTGGCAGTAGCGGGAAGAAGAGAGAACGAGAGAGAGAGAGAGAGAGAGAGAGAGAGAGAGAGAGAGAGAGAGAGAGAGAGAGAGAGAGAGAGCCCGGGGAGAACGCGCGATCGTGACTGGAATTAAGCGGAGCGATTTTTCCAGCGAATTATCGTTGCGTTGCTTTTTGTTCGCCCCCTCGCTGTTTCCCTGTCTCCTCTCACAGAAACGAAATTGTTTGATCAATTATGACGGGTGAGAGGGAGAGGGAGAGAGAGAGGAGAGGCGCACCGTGCCGTGCTTTTAAATCCACGCGCGCTCGCTCGCGAACGCGATTTTATTTGCTTATGCATTTGTCCGCGCTGGAAACGTGAGTTCACGTTCGGCAAACAGACTCTCCTAACGAAGCTGCGGCAACGTACACACCACACCACCGTGCTAAACCGATAGCCCGTAAAATCATTTCCGAACTTCTATTGGGCTTGCCTATCTCTCTCTCTCTTTCTCTCTCTCTCTCTCTCTCTCTCTCTCTCTCTCTCTCTCTCTCCCTCCTCTCTTTCTTTCTCTCTCGGTACAGCCGTAGCGGCCACCGCGATAATATCGACGCGCTATTAAAGTTTTCCCCCATCCCACCTGTCCCGTTCAATTCCAATCTGCCGCGCTCTTAGCGATGATCGCCTCGATTCCCGTACATCGCGTTTTTTTCACATCTTTCGCGGAATAATACCCGCTCGCTTTTATCTGGTAATTACAGCGGAAATACTTGAGAGGCACCGTTACGCGCTCTCGAGCCCGTTAATTGCCTCGCCACTTATTTAATCTAATCTACGGAACTTATCGAGATCCGAGCGATATATTATATTCGTGCTGATCCGCGCGTATCTACGTGTGTACGCGCAAACACGTAATTTTTTTTCCCCCCGCGCCGATACTCGGACGGACACATCGACGTGCGGCCGATAGCGACCGATAACAATCGTTAAGCCGTGAATTGCGTAAACGTTATTATTGACACGCGGAATTTTTACCATTCCCTGTAGCAACAGAGGCCCGATTTGCCGAGACTTCTGCAACAGATGCACGCCCAGCAACTGCCACCGGGCGCGGCGATGGGACCACATCCGGGCATACCCGGACTTCCTGGGTTGGGCCCGGGCGCGGGTATACCGGTCCCCACCTCGGCGTCCGCGGCGCTTCTCGGTTTAGGCCTTCCCCCGGGAGCGACCGGCACCCCCGCGGGCGCAGCCGCGCATCCGCTGTCAATGCTGACGAAACCGGAACTTCATCGCGGTCAACCCGACGATCTCAAACCTAACGGAGGTAAGTCATGTCAAGTTTCTCCCCCCCTTTTATCTTCTCAAGCCACTTGTTTCTCCTCGAGTATCTTGAGATTTCTTCGAATATTAAATCAAGATGTTCAACACTTTGAATGCAAATCTGATCTCGGCATCCGAGTTGATAAATCTGACGTGTCATTTTTATATTTCGCTTTTTGTAATGTCCTGATAAAATTTATACCATCTCCTTAATGTTTAATAAAGTTATTCTTGGATAAACAAGACCGTCACCCGTAAATGGATGACGGAGTCTGCGGAAATTTTTTGAGCGGCACTCAAAGTGCTAAAAACATAATGCACTCAAAGTAAAAAAAAATTAAATACTAAACATTTTTATCTCTTATTCGATACACAAAATTACGGGAGAAAGCGTCTTCTGTCTCGTGATCTTCGGACGAGTTTTTTTTTTCTTTCTTTCATCAGTCACTCGACCCGTGTAAACTCGCGTCTCTCTTGACGAGCGTGTAAGGTCAGTAGTCGCGTTAATAGAAAAGATTCTGTTCGTGGAAGTCTGTCGATTCCAATGCCTCGATTGTCTCGCGCACTCAGCAGCTCGCTCGTGGATATTTCGCGCGCCAAACGATCCGTCTAACAGTCTCGTTCGCAGAACGCATCCAGCTTCGCCTTGTGTTTCGCGTAACTCGGCTACCTGCTGTTCAATCGCTTATCTTCGCCTCTGCGAGAACAGGCCCGGTAACCGATCCTCATGAGACGATACGTTGTTGTTTTGCCGCGCTCGTCGTGACTCGTAATCTCATTGATGATTCAGCGATATACGCAGCGACGATGAACGTAAACACGATTAATCCGTCGAGAGCCCCGCCGGTGTAATGGATGAAAACCGCTCGTGAGAGCGTTTTAAGAAGGGAGAGACCACTTGGGTAGTATACGGCGAAACCGCTCCAAAGTCGCTGAAATTAAGCAGAACCTTCCCGTGCTATTTTAAGTGCGGTCTGGAACGAACGAGCCGATGATGCAAACGACCGTGCTTAAACCCGAGAGAAGCTCCTGAAACTCTCGATCTTGACCTCGAGAATCCTCTCGGGTCTCCGTTCTCGTGTTCTCTCTCTCTCTCTCTCTCTCCCCCTCCCCCCCCCTCGTTTCCTCTTCTCCTCCTTCGTCTATCTTCCTCGTTGGCACGTCACGCGACTGCAAGATCTCGGTTCGCGCTCTCGGGGGCCTCACGTACCGCTGACGAAGACGCGCCGGTACTCCTTCAAACTCCTCTCTCGCCCTTATTCTCGCGCGCTTCCTAGCTTCCCGCCGATGTCTCGCTCGGCGTGTCTCGTTCTAGCCACAGCCATCTCTCTCGAGAGCACTCAGAATCTCCTCTCGACACGAGTGTACTTCCACAACCCTTCCCCTTCCCCCCCCCCTCTCCCGCGCCCGACGCCCTTACTCGCTGTCTCTATTCCCTGATGGCCTCCACTCTGACCCTGCCTATCTTTTCCCCGGACTCGCACTCAACTAACTATGTTACTCAGCCCGGGTATACAATAGCCTCCGGCCGCGCGCGCGTTGTTTCGCGTTTTCAGGCCAACGTTAGGACTCGTCGTAATCCGTCGATCTTGGTGCGACTGCCTTCGCGGAAATAGCCGTCGAGATTATCTCGAAGAAACTTATTAATGCCCGCCAATTGCTCGACAGTCGCCGATTTACGCGTACGGTAACGCGACGTATTGTTACACGTTATTCCGAATGCGTTCTTTCCGACTGTGTCCCATAACGCAGACACTTTGTCCTCCTCTTTTTCTCGGCGAAGCGTGAACACACGTTCGCTCCGCTCGAAGCAAAGAAGGCGTGAAAAAGCGCAGTCAAAAAAGGACAGATCTGCTACAGTCTACATTGTCAACGATCGCAGACACTCTTTTGAAAAGGAATTCCGCCACGAACCGAGAGACGTGTAACGGCCCAGTATTTCTGTCCTGACAACTGAAACTTCTTTCCTTCTTTCCGGAACATTGCCCTGAGCGAATTGTTTCTACCAGCGCGCGGCAGGCGCGTTCTCGTTTTGTTCTTCCCTCCGGCGGTTTTTCGCCTCCCTCCCCCCTCCCTAAAACGACTCTATCCTCGGACATATCCGCCGCAATATCTGCCACCGGCTGGCTGTGTGACGCCGCGATTCCTTTTTACTCACTCCGCAACGAGCTGCAGTCTTTATGCTCGATTAGAAACCAATGTCGGCCCTGCTGGCGTTGATAATAGCATCGATCCTCGCTCGATTTACTCAAGTTTACCCCCGCGTCGCTCCTCGAGAGTACAAGTGGTGCGATTTTAATGCGAAGCGGATTTTCGTTGAATAACTCGAATACTCGATAACGAGCCACTCTTTATCCGATAATTTCCTGAGTAATGGGCGAGCTTGTCCTCGGCACTTTTAGTAAGCCCGTCCCAAGACGGGAGGGGAGGAGATGCGAGCACGCGAGTCCTTAAAACGTCTCTCGGAAACACTCGACGAGCTCTTCGCGCTTTAGTAGAAAATTATGCGCGCTCTTCCGCGTCCGTTTACGAGCGCGCGCGCGCGCACCGGAGTAGTCGAGTGAGGGAGGAGAAAAGAGTTTCCTGGCCGGATAGGAGGAAGGATAAAAGGGGGATGACGGGCATTAGCGAGCTCTATACCCGGCGCGTGGAGAAGGAGGATACCTTTCGCTCCTTCTATCTCCCGAAACCGTTCCGCTTTTGCACGCGTCTGCTCGATAACGACGTGAACGTGTATCCAGGATTTTAACCCCTGAAACGACCCGACTCTCCGCATTTTACGTCGGCTACCAGGTACTGGGTGGTAGCGCGGAAAAATACGAGAAAGCTCTCCCGGCCCAATAAGGCCTCTCCCTCCCCGACTATCGCCCCGCGTTATTTTAACGGACTACAGAGACTATAATAATAAAATCACTCGTTCGCCGCGATGTAGATGGCCGATGATACTCGGCGGAACATTCGAACGGAAGCTCCAAATGGGAGGGGATTTAAGGTTTCATCGAGCGACGAAAATACGCGTTTTATCGTTGCAACTTATTACCGGAGGGGGAGAAAACGCCACCGTCTCGATATCGCGCGCGGTATCGGAGCGCCGTCTCTCGCGGCACATCGCGTCAATAAAAATATTTTATTTCCGCGGTGGTTAATGCCGCGAGAGAGAAAAGAGAGGCAATTTATGACGGTCCCGGTGCACCGGGAACATAAACGGCTCGTGTAATTCTTACTCGGCGGTAGGACGGGTAGCGGTAGGAAAAAGATATCGTTAAGATATTTCCTACGAGACCAAAGTGTACCAACCCGGCGTGGGTGCGCGGGGCAAAGGGGCGGGAGGAGAGGCTGGGGAAATCGAGCGAGGGCAAACTATGAACTCGGCTTCTCGAGGACAAAGCTTTTCCGTCTGGATTTTCTCCGCTCCCTGTTCCAGCCAGCTTTTCTTTTTCCCCGATCTCGCCCAACCCCCGCCGCCGTCTCGGAAATCCTTGAGAAGTTGAGCTAGTCTCGCGCGCACCTCCTTCTTTCCCTTTTATCTGCTTCTTCCCGCGGAAAAGATTCCGTCGACATACCACCGACTCTATTCCCTTCGACGCTGTAATAATAATGAAAAACATTCATGGCCGTCCGCGCCGTCGGGGAATAGATCAGTCGGCGGTGATTTCGGGAACGTGGATTATCACGGGAGCGAGAAAAGTCGCTTGCGCATTTTAATGACATGGCGAATATTCACGGGTAATTCACACGACATTTTTATTCTTTGTTACAGGTCTCAATCCGGCCGAGGAGAGGCATGTGAGTATCACGTTCGAATACCTATAGTAATTTCTCATTATTCGTCGCGAACGAGGGGGCGACCGGCGTATCGCTGGTACCCCCCGTCGGGGCGCGTAAAATTTCACCTCATAAAGGGGATTAGATCGCCGCTTACGCGCAATGTATTATTGGACGATGGCGGAGGTGGAGGAATACGAGAGTGAAAGAGGGAATTAGCGCGATACGCGATAGCGCGGAGAAAAAGGAAAAGAGGGGTGGAGGGATAGAGAGAAGCGGGCAGGACGGGAGGTGGAGATGGTGACGAAGGAGGAGGAAGCGCGGAATGGACGTAAAAGCCTGAACACCGGAACACAGGGCCGTAAAAAGCTCGTCGTCAAAAGCACTCCCTTCCGCTTTCATCGACCACTCGGTACTCGCTTTCTCTCTCTCCCTCCCTCGCTCGTTCTCTCGCTTTCGCTCTCGGCCCCTCTATTCCTCCGCGTTTCTCTTCTTCTTCGATAACATAAAGCGTCCGCTGGTTGCGGCGCGCGCGTTTATTAAAAGCGCTCCGGAGAGGAAAAAAGCCTCGAGAGCGCTCGAGGGCACCGCCGTTCGCGCTCTCCGCCTCTCAGGTCTCTCGAGTGTCCTGCGAGATCGGTCCCGCCGATCGATCGATCGCTCGGCAAAAGGCTCGCGCGAGAAAGGAGAATCGATCAGCCGCGGTCGGAACTCCCATTCCGCCCCCTGCCCTTTTTCCTTTTTTTTTTCGTTCCAGGATGAATATCGATGTGCGCAGTTAGCTCGGGCGTCGATTAAACGGTCCCGCGCGTCGTAACAGCGTTCCCGCATTAACCGATGCGATGCGGCGAAACGAATGGGCGATTAAGGTTTCACACTCGTTGAAAAATTCGCGAACCACTTGGCGAATCGAGAAAAACACAGTTTGATATTTGATTTCGCGAATATTTTCGCGCCCGGGCGGGCGATGATTTTTTGGTTATTAATCCTCTTTCGGCCGCGGTGAAATTTACTGCGCGAGAGAGACCAGGAGGACGGGAGCGAGATAGAAAGAAAGGGAGCGGAGCGGACCGCCGCGAGTTGTAACTCGTTCGATTCGATGGCGATGGCGCCCGCGGCACGCTGCCAGCCCGATAATTAGTGCCCGTTTAATATGCACAATTATTACGGATTGATAATCGGGGCTGCGCGTCCATTACATCGGTATGGAGATAGATGGTAATAGGTTGCTATCGATATTAGCTCTCCTCTTTCGCCCTCTACGTATCCCTCCCTCTCATCCGCATCGCTTCCTCCCCTACGGCTCTTCCCTGCGAATTCTCTTCCGTTTATCTCCCCTCCCCCCCCTCCCCCCGGGGATCCCACCAACCAAGTGCCTTCCACAGTTTCAAACTGCGACCCTGAGGCCTGTGAAATTGAAATATGAATGCTAATGGGGTTACTCACCCCGGCGTCATATATTACTGATTGCTGGAAAGGTGAGTCTCCTTTTATTTTTTCCACCGCCTTCCGCGCCTCCGTTCATCCCAAGACCACCTTCCACGCCGCGCTTCACGTCACTCTCTTCTCCCTGCTCCTAACGCATTAATAGTTAACAACGATGATGAATTTTAAAAAGCAATTACGCGTACTCACCATTTCGAAATTCGCCGCCTCTCTTATTCCGTCAAGACGTTTCACCGCATATATACCGTATTGATCGAGGGGTCCGATCGTGGCGCGAAGGCGTCTATCGCCTTCTTTTTAACGGAAGGAAGTTCCGAGCCATCGAACAAATTGACGCCGTACTTACCGAGTTCCGAGGAGCGAAGAATTACGTTCCCATCGATCCGCTTTCTCGCGTCACTTTGAATTTATACGTCCTCTCCGCAGCGCAGCGTGGGGCAGGCTGCACGATAAAACTTCTATTCCGCTCGGCGGGTCGTTACCCAACTACATTTTCATGTTCCTTCTCGCACCTCCGCCCACCCTTCCTCACCTCCCCGTGCAATCCGATCTCGTGATTGGATCGCCGAGAAAGAACGGAGCTCGCGGAACAGGGGCGCACCATCGCGGAGGCTAAGACGGGAAGGAGAAAAAAAAATCGAGAGGGAAAGGGAGGGAATGAATACAGGCGAGGGGCGAGGGGCAGCGGGAGGAAGGGAGTCTCGAACCGAAAACCGATGACAGCCGGAGAGAATGTGAGTCGTTATTATTCGCGCACCAGTAAAGTCCTCTCCTTTCATTCCTGGGAGCTTTACCTTTCGCATCCCACTTCATCCCTCTCTCCCTCCCTCTTTCGCACGCGCGCGCGCGCGCGCGCGTGACACCTCTCCGTTTTCAGGATTTTTCACGACCCGGGAAATATTTCCTCTATGCGTTGCGGAACACCTCGGAGCTTCTCGAGGATGCGGGAAAGAAGCCAACCATGCCTATAGCCTCGACGTTGACGTCGCCCGTTGCTCGGAAAAGAGGAAAAGACGACGAAAGACCGAGCTACTCCGCGCGAGCTACTCGACAATCATCTCCCGTCGTCGCTCCCAGCGTGGAGGCGTTGACTCATAACGAATTCATAAAACACCGTGACACGGTTGCCCCCCGTGGCGTAAAGAGGCGCGATGGACGGCGGCAGAATATTTATTTATTGCTATTGCTTCGCACAGACGGACGAAAACGACGGGCATTTTCAGCTATTACCCGGCGTGCCCCTCTCGAAGGGGGACATGCCGGGGCGAGCTTAATTGAATCGCGCGATGCTTACGCATCGTTTCGAATAGCTCGCGGTAAATTGTCGCGGAAGCTGGCGGGTCTCGATGGTGACGACGAGAGGATACTCGTGGAGACCGTTAATGTTGATTCACCCCGCTGTAATGTGGACGCATTTTCGCGAAAATTGCCCGCGACTGTAAAGCCAGATATATAAATTGTTATACCCGCGGTTCTTTTTCGCGCACGCTCCTCTCGCTCCGCTCGCGCCCGTGCTCGCGGATATAAATGAATTATATCTCTCCATTTTCAACACGAAATATTTAACAAACAGCCGCAAGAACGCGGACGCGGTGACGTGAATATTTCATCATAATTCGACGACACCGTTCGCGACCAATTGCCTGGCTCAGCTTTTCGTGTTTCCGTCAATACTCTGGGGGAGAAAAAAAGACAGCAACCCATTTTGGGGCCCACAATTTGTTATCGAATTATTTGGATTGTGCGGAACTCTACACTGATAAAAAGAATATCATAATCCAAAAAATATTACTATACTCAAGAAAATTATTCGTTAGGTGGCCCCTAATAGCTTATTAACTTAAATTTAAAAACAGTAAACAAATTAAAACATGCATTGCTTTAATTTAAGTATTTATTAAATATGAAAGAATAGATAATTTTAAATTAAAAATTTTATTTTAATTCTATAAAATGTTTACTAAGATGTAATTTTCACAGCGAAGAAAATTAAATTTCTTATTTAACAAAAACAATTATTTCATTTAATAAATAGTATTCTATATCTCATGAAATCTTTATTTGAATGTAGAAAATATAATGATTTAAATTAATTTACTTAATATAATACATAGATTCGCTTGAAATTTGATATTTTTCTTTAAAGTCAGTGCCTGTGAAACTTATCTTTGCGTTACTGAATATCGACGGAACTAATTGAGAGAATTGATCAGTATTACTTTAAAGTCTTGGATATGGATAGAATAGCTAATTGCGATTTTTAGTTACGCGGGGTAAAATTCCTAAAAGATTAGAGTTACGAGCAATCCAAATAATTTGCTAATTGTGGGTCCCAAAATGGGTCGCTGTCTTTTTTTTCCCCAGAGTAAGGGCGATGTATTTGTTTATTTTTTTGTGGGATGCTGCCTGTCGTCACCCTGCAGCTCAATATTAGTGGCAGTGGTTTCTTCGCAGAGTTAAACATTGGCGCGGACGTGCAGCAACACATACGACATTATTCGCCACTTATTTCAGAACGATGATACGGTTTGTTGCCGAATGTTAATTGCAATGGAATATCGTTCGAGAGGGGGGAAAAAAATCGCCCCGGATCTCGTAGCCCGGAGGCTGGCATCGCAACCGCATCGGCGATCCTGATATCGTGAAAACAGGAACGATTTTAAACGTTTAATCGAAATCGATTCCGTTATTTACTGTGTGTATAAGCCCTCGCGCCATCGCGATGTTGTGGTGGCAGGTACACGTTCGGCTGTTCCGAGAGTTGAAAATCGGCTCCGAATCGAGACGCCGCGATATCGATTGTTCGTCCCTCCCTCGGCCCCTCGTACGCCTCCTCGCTTTTTCCTTGGTTCAGCCATTTTCCGGCAGTTCGTTCTCCATTGGTCGCGGAGCTCGCGGTCGCGTTACTCTTTTTCCAACTTTTACGCCATCCTCTCGCCTCTCCCTCTCGCCGCTCGGCCTCTTCCATCCTATCATCCCCTACCCGCCTTTTTAATCCCATCACAGAGTCGAGCGCGCACCAACGAGGCTGTCGCCGGAGGTCGGTAAATTAAATCTCGAATAAAGTGCAAATAAACGAGCAAGGGGGAGGGAGAGAGAGAGAGGGGGGGCGGGAGAGAGGGGCGTTACCCGGGTGGTGGTCGAAAGTGCGGTACAAAAAAGCGACAGGGTGAGAGCGAAAAAAAGCTAGCCGAGAGGAAAGAGGAAGGGAAGCGAGAGAGGGGGAGGACACAGAGAAAGGACTAGTACGGGTGCGAAGCCAAGAGGGAAAGAGAGAGGGGAGGGGGGGGGAGAGATAGAGAGAGATAAAAGAGCGAACTGACGCGCGAGAGTGTAATTTATTTTAATTAGAGTGGCTGCATTATGTAAGCGGGTGAAGCGCCGATGAAAGGGTTTGAAAGGGTCGAGAGATCCTGACACCGACCCCCCGACCAACATCCCCTTCCACTAACACCCTGTCTCTGCTGTCTACCCCGGGAACAGACTAATTCGCTCTCATCCAGGGCTGTGAGGATCGTGGGAGAGCGTTTGGAAAAGTTGGCGAGATTCGAGACCGACGTAGCGATGCGGCAGTT